TTTAGGCATCAGAGTGATGTGCAAAGTCATTACATTGTCAAATTTATGTCAACCATGTATCTGCTTTCCCTATTTTAATGTTGCATGACAGTAAAAAGACGTTTAATTCTGTGTACATAAAAGGAAGATTTAGTACTACTTGTATAATGAGATCCATTTAAGTGCTGTGTACTTATAGCTTTGAGTATAACAGCTTGATGAACACAATAAAGCACATTAGTTCTATTAAAACTAATTGTGGGTGGCTGAAAAATGTATTCCAGCCCTTAGGGCAGTTTAACTGGATGCAAAGCTGTTTTGGCATTTAAACCTTTTAACTCAGAGGTGCAATATCTTTCACTAGTCAAGAAATGTTAAGCCACCTTTATTTTTTCTGTAAAAGTTTAAGAGATGACAAATTGAATAACTGTGCTTCTTATGCAAAGCTGTCTTTTGAACTGGGGACCAGACAGCTGAAAGGCAAATGTCTTAAAGCAAATGCAGCCAGAGTGGAATTATTATCTGTATAAAGTGTGTAATGGATGAATCCAGTGGGAAACAGTAAATCATTGCTGGCGGATTTATCCTTAGGTATATATCTGTATACGTTTGCAAAGCAGTTTATCATAAGGGTGCCATCTCTATTAGATATCTTTTTTTTATAATAATTTTTTTTTATATATATAATTGACAGTGTCCAGCATATAGTTTAACATTCATTTTATATGCGTCCCACAGGCCACTTACTTTGTATCAGTTCCTTAGACCACTGTTCCCTCTAGGCCTGGATTTCCAGAAATAATGATGAAAAAAATCTAGGTAAATCTTACTAACAGTTGGTTCAGTTCTAACACATTGAAATCAATGAGTTAGGCCTGAAGTGACTGTCAACAAGAAGATAATTTCATGCTTCTAGGCCAGTGGTGGTCAACTTACTATGAAGGGGAAGGGGGGCATTCTAGTGTGGTTCCTGACATCACAAAATACTTCCTCTTTTCTTACTCCTGCGTTGAACAGCACATGTGTAATGTTGTGTGAGCAGTGTTCAGCACTGTAGTACTCTGAGCCCAGTTTGTGTGATAATGCCACCCACAGTGGCAGGTCCTAGACAGCCTTACTTAGAGAAATCATTCATTCTGGGAGACTGGTGGCATCTAATTTTGCATTAGAGGCTTAGCACTCAAAGTGCAATTTTCTTAATACATTTTCCAATTTACCTAATGCCATCACCCCGGTACACCAGGCACGTGGGTTGCTATCTCCTTGGGAAGAAGACAGTAAGAACGTGATCCCCAGTAAGTAAATGCCAGCACACATGCAAGTCAGTATTGGGGGGTGCTTTCACAATGCTCCCAAGGAAGTGTGTTGGCATGGGGGAAATTAATGCTCAATCTGTCCATTTTTATGGAGGTCAGTAGATTGCCAATACCTTTTATACAATCCACAGTGTGGATTGTATCAGTGTGCATGCAGTTAAGCAGTGCATACACTTAAACATTAAAATCCTAATGTATTAAATAAATATCCAGTGATGTCCAAATATGTCTTCTTTTTAGTTGTGTATCCAGGATCCCTAATGTGAGAATCTCCCTGTGACGACCCTAGGATCGCTGCCACCAATATGTGATGATCCCACGATCGCTGCCACCAATATGTGATGATTGCGGCATCAGACCCCAGACCTTCTCACCAAACTTGTGACCAAAGGACTAGCCAATCTAAAACCGTGATGTCACGTGCGTAACAATGCCACGCCCAGCTGCACCCTGCACAATGATTTTCCAGCTAATTCGACCACAATCTATGTACAGGCAGACTGAATGCGATTGTTACTGGGTCGGGTTAATTACGCAATTAACCCTTCACACTGCCACCACCTCCTTTTTGTACAGAGAAAGAGGAAACTCTGCGAGATCAGCTATAACACTATAATGGTTGAGATAATCGTCTGTATAACACGGTCACCGCAGGCCGGTTATACAGAGGGTTAAACAAACACAGTAGCTCTCTTTTAGAGGCAGGAATTCGTAAATTGCAATAAAGAGCTATAGAAACAGTTCAACACTTTCAGAAGGAAAGATTTATTAGTAAAAGGTCAAACGGGTGCAATAAAAATATTTACAATAACAAGATGTAACCAATATATATATAAATATACAGAGAACAACAGCACAGCAAAGAGATAACAGAGAGAAGTTAGAGGGTTAAAGTACTTGCCAAAGTCCTGGGTTAGCAGATCAAGTTTCAGAGCGAAAGGGTACAGGTCTCCCAGGTGGTCCTGATGTTAAACGGGAGAATTCTTCAACTTAACTCTCTTAGGCCTGACAGCTCATTTTGTTCCCCAGCAGGGGGTGTCTCTGAAGTCAAGGACCAATACCCCGTTTAGGGTGGGAAGGTCTGGGCGTAGACCTAAACTAGAGCCAAAATCTCTTCTTGTTCATATTTTGGTAGATTATTATGCAGACACATCTGAGGATTGATTAGACATGAAATATGAAATTATACACTGAATGGTTCACGAGATCTACTTTTCTGCTTTCCTATGTATTCCAGCCAAGGAGAGTGAACAACCAAACTGTTCGTCTCCTCTTGGCCAATCTAACGATATGCCTGGTTTTTATGTAAGTCTCTCATATTCCAAGATATGAGACACAGGGGAAAAATGGATTTTTAAAAGTGTTATCTGGTCGTGCTTCTCTGGAATTCCTTTGAACTCCTGGGAAGGCTTGCGTTATCTTTTTACGAGGTGCTAGGTTGCACAGGTTGTTTGGACAGCAAGGCCCCAGCTCCCTTGGGGGTTTTATAGCTCGTAGCCCCCTGCTGGGCTCTGGCCTCCTGTGACACTCCTAACCCAGGGGCCATATGTCAATGTGTATGAACAGAGAGGAAAGGTGGAGAATGAGGGGGAAGTATGTTTGTACAAGATGGAGGATCCTTTGCCAAGATGAAGGTTGAAGCCAAAATGGTTGAACCGCGTCCATCTCTGGGTGTACGATTGCGACACTTCCCCTTCCTTGTGTCTATGACTTGAAACTTATCCTGATGGGAGAAACGTTTTCAAAGTGCTGGGAACTCTTGGGGGGTAAGGGGAGTAAGGGGAGGGGGGGTCCCCCTGGGTTGGTGAATGTTGCAAGATAAAAAAAAAAAAGTTCTAAGTGCTATTAATTTGTGACAGATGCACTTTAGATATAGATTACAGAAGACTATCATAATTAATGAACATAGTAAGACAAATCAACATAATAAGCCTGACACTTTTTTTTGCATATGTTTACTGCCGACGGCTATAACCATCAGCAGTAATCATTGTGTTCTGCAGAATACAACAGTGCTGCAGGAGGGGTGCCCCCAACAACACTGACTATGTTAATGGGGTAATCAAGCAATTTTCTTCTGACTTGCCTGAGGCTAACTGCAAAAAATCCAGAATATTTGGCAGTTTGAGAGACAAGGCTGGAAAACATGTCTGGTAAGTAATTTTCCTTTTCAAAGCAAACAAACTTCCCTTAGATATGATGTAGGTAGCATTTGTGGTTAGCTCTCTTGCCTCCAGTAAAGTAGTGATTAACTCCTACAAAAAAACCTTGCTCTTTCAGTCTGGCTGATTCATTAGCCCTGCTGTCTAATGGAAACTCACTGGATTCAGATACCACAAGCCCCTCTGGTCTAGGAGATCTCATTTGTTGGGAATGAACGGTGGATGATCTGAAGCCATGTGCAGTATTGGAAGAAACCATGGCCTTCTCAGCTAGTAAGGGAGCATGACTATGGCTTGTTCTGACTCTGACTCCTGACTAGATCTTGAGAAGGACTGTAATTGCCAAAGGAACTGGATAGAAGATGTAGTCTAGTGGATAGTTCCAAGCTTCCAAGAATGCATTTTGGTCTAGCTGGAATCTGTACATAAATGGAGGGAGCTGCATGGTCATCAGTTTGATCAGTGGAGTACCCAGTTTAGGCCTCAGAAATTTTCTATTGAGTGAATACAAGTTGTCAGGAAAAACAGTGATCTTCCAGTAGACTTTTGCCCTGGCAGGTGTGAAACTGACAGTGCTTTCAAGTGCTTTTGTGCTCACGGGAAGATTCCACGTGTATAAAAGAAAGACTTCTGGTACCTCCTTTTTTTCAGATGTAAGTTACAGGTTGTCTTGTGTATAAGAGTATCGTTATTGCCGCTGATGGAGAAAATCCTGAAAGGATATAAGAGCCAGAAAAGACTTTTAATTTCTGCAGGTTGGAGTGTTATGGAACTGGACTGTTCTGCCACTCTTGCAGCTGTCATTAGACCATCCAGTCCTGTAGACTGACATCTTAAGTAAAAATGATCTAGTTTCCAGGGCTAAGATATATATCTGGTGTAAGGTTTGCAGAATAAAACCTCCAGAGAAGATCCAGGAAAATTTGACAAGGTGATCCAGGTACATTTTATGAGGACTTGCTGCCTTCACTAACACTGGCTTAACATACCCTCCTGAAACTGTTCCAAGCAGTAAATTATAGTGCAGATCTATTTGGTATCTACTTACCTGAATCAGTTTAATTTCCTAAACGCTGATCAAGAGGGAGTCTGTCTGACCCCCAAAACATGTTGGCTTTTTTTTCTGCTATGAATCAATTTTATCATTAAAAACCCTGGACTCCTGGACAATTGTTTGACACTATCATTGGTCTGTATGTACTGTATGTGGATTCGTAACTCTGAGTTATTTCCTTGTTTCTAAAGGGAGTTCTTGTTTTTTATGGAGTGTTGCCAAACTGGAGCCAGTGTTCCCTGTGACAATTTCACTAGCCCTTAGAAAATCTTAATCCAGTGCCCATTTCTTTTTGTGTGCATGCTATTGCTTGTTCAATGTATGACTTTACCTACCAAGATTCTGCCTCTTTGTCTTTGTTCACTTCTTTTAAACAGAGGGTGCACACTAACTTACCCAGGAAGACAGCAACAGAACATGCCCAACCTGGGACACAGCGGATCACCGATCAATGGAAAGAGCCAATGATGTCGGCTCGGTCATGTGATCAGCTGTGTCCAATCACAGCTGATCGCATGTAAATAAGGAAATGCAGGTTATCGGCATTCCTCTCCTCAAGAGCTGTCGCACTGACAGCTCGTGAGGAGAGGAGAGCCGTTAATCGGCATTACTCAGAGGGGACATGTACACTGATCATCAGAGCACTGATGAACAGTGCACCCTGATGATCAGTGTAGCCCCATTAGTGCCACCTGTCAGTGTCCATCAATGCCACCTGCTAGTGCCCATCAGTGCCACATCAATGCCACATTTCAGTGCCTACCAGTGCACATCAATGCCACATATCAGTGTGCATCTGAGCTGCCTTTCAATGCCACCTATCAGTGCCAGTCAGTGCCACATATCAGTGCCGCCTATCAGTGCCATATATGAGTGCTGTCTTTCAGTGCCCATAAGTGATGCCTGTTAATGCCCATCAGTGCCACCTACCAGTGGCTCCTCATCAGTGTCCATCAGTGCTGCCTATCAGTGCCCATCAGTGCAGCCTATCAGTGCCCATCACTGCAGCCTCATTAGCACACATCAGTGAAGGAGAAAAATCACTTATCTGCAACATTTTATAACAGAAACTAAGAAAAAATGTTTTTTTTTTTTAATTTTCAGTTGTTTTTGGTTTGTTAGCAAAAAATAACAAACCCAGAGATGATTAAGTACCACCAAAGGAAAGCTCTATCTGTCTCAAAAAAATTATAAAAATTTCATATGGGTACAGTGTTGCATGACCGCGCAATTGTCATTCGCAATTGTTGCATAACCGCGCAAGTGTGACAGCACTGAAAGCTGAAAATTGGCCCGGGCAGGAAGGAGGTATAAGTGCCCTGTAGGCAAGTGGTTAAAGAGACCAACTGTAATGGTTTTATCAGTGTTTTGTAGCTGTCATCACTCAGCTTGACTAAAGTCTATGCCTAAGAGACACTTTTTAAGGTTCAAAAGAAATTGTACCTACTACGGTGAATATTTAGAACAAGCTGAACTAAAAGAAAACAAAAATAAGGGTTATGACTCTAATGATTTGGATCATCTTATAAATGAAGTAGGGCAAAGACAGAAGAGTGATATGTTGCTACCTAAATATGCTAATAATAAGGATGATTCTATTTATACCTTTTTTTACCACATTTCCAGCCAGCATTATGTCATCAAAAGGATTTTTCCTAAACACTGGAGCAATTTAACCACTTGCCTACCGGGTACTTATACCTCCTTCCTTACCCGGCCAATTTTCAGCTTTCAGCGCTGTCGCACTTTGAATGACAATTGCGCAGTCATGCAACATTAAACCCATATGAAATTTTTATCATTTTTTCTCATAAATAGACCTTTCTTTTAGTGGTATTTACTCACCACTGGGTGTTTTATTTTTTGCGGTATAAACAAAAAAAGAGCAAAAAATTTGAAAAACAAAAATTTCTTTGTTTCTATTATAAAATTTTGCAAACAGGTAGTTTTTCTCCTTCACTGATGTCCGTTGATAAGGCTGCGCTGATAGGCATTACTGATGGGCACTGATAGGCATCCCTGATGGGCACTGATAGGCAGCACTGAAGGACACTGATTAGTGGCACTGATGGGCATTGATAGGTGGCACTGATTGGCACTGATAGGCGGCACTGATGGGCACTGATAGGCAGCACTAATGACCTTGCATGGATAGGCTGCACTGATAGGTGGCACTGATATGCGGCACTGATAGGTGGCACTGATGATGGGTACTGATAGTCGGCACTGACTGGTGGCACTGCTGGACACTGACTGGCGCAACTGCTGGGCACTGCTGGGTGGCACTGACTAGCGGCACTGATGGGCACAGGTGGGTGGCACTTCTGGGCACAGGTGGGAGGCACTGCTGGGCACAGGTGGGTGGCACTTCTGGGCATAGGTGGGCGGCACTGCTGGGCACAGGTGGGCGGAACTGGTGGGTGGCACTGCTGGGAACCGATCATCAGGGCAATGATCATCTGTGCCCTGATGATCGGTGCCGATCCCTGCTCTGACAACTGCCGGTTCTCGGCAGTACTTTCCTCACACTGTGACAGCGTGATTGGCCTTTTATCACATCACATGATCAGCTGTGTCTGTAGGACCACATGACCACAGAGATAGCTGGGTGTTCACCCCCAGGGGCGCGCAGGAGAGTGCATTCTGGGAGGACATCATATGACGCCTTCCCAGAACTGGCCGGCCACAGTGCAACCATCATTTGGCTATCTCTGGTCGGCAACTGGTTAAAGAATGATAGCATTCTTAGTTCTCAGTTACCAGAGGTCCCTTCAGTTGTCTAGAGGGGAGTTCCACCTATACAAAAATTAACATTATTGAACCACTGAAAATAAACAATTTTTGTTCCCAAAAATTAAGGGTTTTATTCCCTGTAGGACAGTGGTAGGCAACCTTCCAGAGGTTGAGATCTACCTCGACAACATGGAGGAAATCCAAGGTCCTAGGGAAGAGAGTGAGTAATTGTCACCATTTAAAAAAAAAAAAAAAATCAAGCTCCCACTAAAAAGACGGCATAGAGAACACATAATATGTGAGAGCAATGTATTCTGCCTTGCTTCAAATCACTCCCACACATTAGTGTCTTCTAACCCCCCCCACCAAGTAGTGTCCTCAGCCCCACCACAAAGTAGTGTCTTCTGCCTCCCCCACACAATAGTGTGTACTCTGCCCCCCCCCCCGCATGGTAGTGTTCTCTGCTCCCCACATACAGCGGTGTCCTCTGCCACCCCACAAGGTAGTGTCTTCTGTCCTCCCACACACAGTAGTGTCCACTGCCCCCCCACATGGTAGTGTCCTCTGCCCTCCCACACAGTAATGTCCTATGCTCTCCCACAGTAGTGCCCTCTGCCCCCCACACAGTAGTGTTCTCATCCCCCCACATGGTAATGTCCTCTGCCCTCCCCACATAAGTGTCTTCTGTCTCCCCCCCACATAGTAGTGTCCTCTGCCTCCCCCACAGTAGTGTTCTCTGCCTGCTCCACACACAGTAGGGCCCTCTGCACACCCCACACAGTTGTGTCCTCTGCCCCCCTATAGCAATGTCCTCAGCCTGCCCATAGTAGTGTCCTGTGCCCCCCCAAAGCACTGTCCTCTGCCCCTCTCCCCCCACTGTAGTGCCCTCTTCCCCCCCATAGCAGTGTCCTCTGCATTTTCCCCCCCCCCCCCACAGTAGTGTCCTCTGCACCCCCCCCCCCGCAGTAGTTTCCTCTGCATCTCCCCACAGCAATGTCCTCTGCCCTCCCTCCATAGCATTGTCCTCTGCACCCCTTGCAGTAATGTACTCTCCTCCCCCCTCTATAGCACTGTCCTCTGCACCCCCCCAGTAATGTCCTTTGCGCCCCTTCCATAACACTGTTCTCTGCACACACACATCCCCACAGTAGTGTCCTCTATCCCCCCGTAGTTGTTTCCTCTGCCTCCACAGCAGTGTCCCATGCCCCCCAAAGAAGTGTTCTCTGTCCCCAGAAGTAGTGACATTTGCCCACTTCACAACACACAGCCAAGTATAGTTACATCTCTCCTTCCTTTCGCTGCTTGTACATCAGAGCAGAGTGAGAGGCAGCACAATCATGAATGGAGGGCGGGAGTGGGAGCTTCCAGAGATAACTTTTCATGTTAACAAGCTAATGATTGGCTACTAGGACTGCCTAGCAACCAATCACTTGCTGGTTAACTTGGCTAACTGTGCTTTTTCCCTCCATCCACCACTGTTTTGTGCTCTGCTATTAAAAGGAGAGTGGCAAAGGTTGGAGAAAAGCATCAGCACAGCCCTGATTGTGATCTACCTGTCAGCCTCCTGCAATCAATGGGTAGATCGCTTTTGAAGGGTTTCCGACCCTGGCTGTAGGAAATGTGGTGTTTGTAAAATTAATTGTTTAAATTGGAAGAAACATATCATTTTCTGTTCAAATTGTACATCGAAGTCATATGATATAGGTTCATTTCTTAAATGTTCTAGTAAGAATATAATTTATTAGATATAGTGCCCTTGCGTCGTACAGTATGTTCGCCAGAGGGTCAGCATGCAGCAGACCAGGCTGAAGGAACCAAAGCCAAAGTGTCTCCAAACACTATGCTTTGTGCCATGGAGAAAACCCTGAGAACATTTTATCTATGGCCATAGACAGATTTTCTACTAATTGGCAGGGCAGCCATGTGAGGCGTGAAATCTCCAAATAGGAAACCTGGTAGATTTCTTCTCTTAGAACGTACGTTCCATATGGCCTAAATATAAAATGGGATGTGAATTCTTTTAACAACAATTGATTCCATTCCTTATTGCATTTGAGCTTCTTCTTACATTTTTTGTATGTTCTTTAAAGTGGGTCGAATTATCCAGCCTATTTTTAAAAATGTATTTAAGTCATTATATGAGGGTATTTTGGTCTGAGGTAGAAAGTGATGCTCTGTTTTAGGGTGTTGATCTTAGATGTTTTAGGTGACTTCTGGTCTGGGCGGGTGCATCATTTCCAGTCGATGAAACACAGAGGGAGGAGTAGGAATCTGCTCTTCTGCCTCCATAATAGAAGAAATCTACCAGGTTTCCTATTTGGAGATTTCACGCCTCACATGGCTGCCCTGCCAATTAGTAGAAAATCCTAACGCTGACGTACAAAGCTGTCCACCATACTGCCTGAACTACATCACTGACCTAATATCCAAGTACCGCCCAGCACGCACACTCCGCTCCTCACAAGACCTCCTTCTCTCTAGTTCCCTGGTCTCCTCCTCCCATGCCCGCCTCCAGGACTTCTCCAGGGTGTCACCCATCCTCTGGAACTCCCTGCCCCAACCCATCAGATTATCACCTACTCTCCTCTCCTCTCCTTTAGGCACACCCTGAAAACCCATCTCTTCAGGGAAGCCTACCCCACCCCCTGCTAACTTGCCGACCTCCTCCACTCTTCCTACCACTCCATCCCCCACAGCTATCTCCTCCTGTGCCACCATCCCCTCCCTCCTAGATTGTAAGCTCGAAAGAGCAGGGCCCTCAATCCCCTCATGTTTTGCATTGTATTGGTATTGTTCTGTCACATGTTCTGTCCCCCTCTGTAATGTACAGCGCTGAGCGAACTATTGGCGCTTTATAAATACTGTATAATAATAATAATAATGATGCTTGCTAGCCATGCCCCTGACAACGTCACCTGATGACAAAACACGTAGGGTGGAGCTATGGCTTGTGACATCATCATGCTAGGAACCACAGCCATCTTGTTGGTTTGAAATCTTGTGATATGCTGATTTTTTTTGGTTTACAATATATGAGTACATAGAGTTTTAAATAAATGTGAATGTTTATCATACTGCACTATGAGGCGGCTCTTTTCCTTGTTTTGATTTACATGTCTCTGGGAATTAATTAACCGTCTTGGTGGAGAGGAGTCATCTTTTAAGCTGAGAGGGTTCCCACAGTATTAAGCAAGTACAGTAATGTGTGGATCACAGTGCTTGGATATAC